AACAAACAAATTTACAGCTAAAACAGGATTGCAAGACCCATGTTCATTTTATAGTAATGTATTAAAAATATTAATAACTTTCACTGAGTTGCAAAGAAATAAGTGTATGGTCCTAATTACAATCAAATACAAATGCATGCCTTCACAAATAATTGTACTACACATTAAGTAATTACAACCTCTAGCAAAGGCATTCATTCAAATAACAGGGGATCCCTGACTTTGCTATAGATAGTTATCATACTTGGGCCTTTAACTTCCAAAGCACCTCTACTCGTTTATTAAGGCTATTTTAAACAAAGATATTACAGCAAAGAAAAGATTTTCTTTTACAGGTCTCAGAAGTATACCAGGTACTTTCCAAAAAACATAAGATAAAGTCATTGCCCTGAAGAGTTTGCAATTTAATTTTAGACATGATGCAATGACAGGTAGAGTAGCAAAAAAAAAAAAAAAAAAGAAGAGGAAATACACAAACAGAGAATCACCATCAACTTAAAATGCCTTGTATAATACACAGAATCACCATCAACTTAAAATGCCTTGTATATTTTCTTGTATTAGTCAGCTTCTTGCGGGTAATACAACAAAGCATAATAAAGAGTTAAAAAACTCAGCTTCGTATGCCATGAAAACAACCTGGCATTAGTAGTACACTGTCATACTTTTAAAAAGTAACAACAATAGCTAATAGGAAAGTCCTATATTTACAATCTGTTTCAAGGAGTTATTATTGGCAGGCCCAAAATAAGACCTTTATCCATTTGTAAGGTCAGCAGAATTGTAAGCATGCTTCCCATTAAAAGTAGTAGCTCATTACTGGGCAACAATTAAAAGTTCAAAGTAGTAAAGTAGTATTTGCTTCTTTATTGCTCTTGTTTATATGATGTTTGTTGCATAATCCCTGGCCCCTGTATGCACACGTGGGAGGGTGTTTCAAGAAGAGTAGGATTTTGTGGTTTAAAACAGCTAGCAAAAGAGAACAGCTGTTCCTAAATTTGAGAAATTATATTGCATCACAATCATATTTATTTGTTCAAGAAGGAAAAACTAATCACTTTTCTGCTCTGGAGTAGAAATAAATACATCTTCTCTTAAATGCCATTTTGTAAGCAAAATCTGTAGCACATAGTACAAGAAACCTATTTCAACCACAAAACTTAGCTAATATGATTTGAAAGCAGATGAACAGAAAATTTTAGTCAACTGTCAGGTAAATAAAATAATCATAATTTTTATAATAAATGTGTATTTTGTAGTGCAAACAAAAATACAACTAGAAATAAAGCAACTGCCATTTAAAAACTGTATATTTAGAATTTCAACCAAGGTGAAGCTGGTGCTTTTCGGTGTTTTACCTGAGAGGGACTAATGAGGCCTGTTTGATCATGAAATGCTGATCACTTTACCTCCGAAATTCAGGTGCCTTTAGGTTTGGATATGGGCAGCCAAAGTGTATGCGCGGGTGGGGGGGGGGGGGGGGGGGGGGGGGGGGAAGGAAGGAAGGAAGGAAGGAGTCTGTCTGTACCACTCCAAGCAAAAGTCCATTTGGTTTAAAAACAAAAAATCAGAATTAAACTATTAGTGACAGCTTCCATTTCTAAGCACCTGAAATATTCTTCAATACAATGACAAAGCAGTTCCTACATGCACTGTAGTGGTTTCTAAAAAACTCAAGATATATAATGGGTTGCCAACCCAAGTTTTGGGTTTGTTATTTTAACTGACAATATGTAAACTTTTTAATGATAACCAAACTTTCTGACTGACATACTTTTTTACTGTAGTGTAGGAGTGCTGTTGTAGTCATGATGGTCCAAAAATTATGAGGGGCAAAAGGATTTCTTAGGGCGATATCTTTTCTTGAACCAACTATGTAGCTGGGATGAAGTTAGATAAACTTCCAAATCCAAGACATTAGGAAGAATGCCTTATATTCAAAAGCTAGTCTGACTATCTCAGCTACATAGCTGGCCTAAGAAAAGATCTCACCAGAAGAAATCCTTGCCTCTTGCATATGTTTGTACTGACATATGTTTTAGGTAATATAAATATAATCCTTCTGTCAGGGCCTGGACATCAATAAGAGCTGGACTCAAATTTAGGGGTTTAACACAAACTTTCTAAATCTGGCTTGAGCCTCCACCCAGAATAAAAGTCATGCTTGGCTGCAGTAATGATTTTATCAACATAATGCCCCCAATCCAGGGCCCCCCTACTCACTGTTACATCTTGATACACCCCCAACTGCACCCTGCTGTCCCTACCCCACCCTGACCTCTGCCAGCCCCACTCCTGTCCTGCCTAGACTCCACCTGCCATCTCTCTCCCACCTTGCAGCTCCATCCCAGCTGCACTGCCCTCTCCCTGTCCCACCTAGTGCCACGCGTCTTACCTAGCTTCCAGGTGAGCAGCCATTACAGGCAGGCAAAGCCTGGGATGCAGCAGCAGGATATGGCAGAGGCCAGCCACAGAGGTTCCCATGGACCGTAAATTCCTGACAGACAGTTCCCTGAAGAGTACCAAGCTGCACTCGAGCTCAGACAAAAGTTGTTGCTGCCATGCTCTGTCTAGTAACACTTACGTCCAGCCTCAGTCAAGCCCATGGTTTCTTTTCCTTCTCTCTCTCTTTTTTTTGTTTTTTTTAAACAGACTTTAAGGATGAGCCTTTTTAGACTTCTTTTCTTACAAGCTGACAACCCTGACCTAGGAGACTGTGACAGAATCAAGATTAATTACTTCTAAACTAACCTACAAATCAGTCACTGACCTTTTATAATGGCAAACCTAACGCACATTTCATTATCTGTGTTTTTACAAGCTATTTCCAAAGTCCTTTAGATTACAAAAGCACCTTTGCTACTCTAGCATTCTTGTTCTTCCTTTAAATTGCATTTTTTCTACTGTTTGCTCAAAGGCTTACAAGATGCTAGGTCACAATTCTGCAATATGCTCCAAAAAATAGGTGGTCTCTTGCATTCATAGAATCACAGAGAAGTAGGGCTGGAAGGGACCTCCAGAGGTCATCTAGTCCAGTAGTCTCCAACCTTTTAAAGTAGATCACTTTTGGCATTTAAAAGCAACCCAAGATCTACCATGCGCCGCCAGCCCCCCCCAGCAGGTAAGTCGTGGGGAGGGGCAGATTGAGGCAGAGGGAGATAACATTATTTGGGACCACACCTCCCCCAGCAGGCCAGTCCCACCTGGCTGGGGTCCCACTCAACTTACTCCTGCCTCTGTGGCACTGTCCCTCACTGCAGGAACCTTGATCTAGCCCCTGCCCCTTCCCTACCCCACGAACTAACCTGCTGGGCTGGGGCAAGCACATGCATCCATGCGGGCACTCAGCCCCCCCCCCAACCCCAGCCTCAGACAGACTCCGAGATCTACTGCAAGAGGCTCCAAGATCTACTGGTGGATCGAAATCCACTGATTGGTGACTGCTGATCTAGTCCAAACCTCTGCCTAAGCCAGGATCATCCCTATTCACACAGGGACATACAAAAGCCATTAGAGAAAAGCTCAGAGTCCCACTTGAACAGAGTTGCAGGACTAAAGGTTTGTGCAGAGCAGCTGATCCTATTTAAGAACAGGAACTTTGACTGGTTTAAACAGGGGGAAAAAAAAATCCAGAAGAGACTTTACGTGCAACCAGCTGGGTAGCAAGAAAGGTATACCTTGTAGCTGGGTTAAGGCTGGGTTTATACAAGAATGGGGTAGAGATTTTCTAAATTCAAGATTATTTGACAAGGATACATTCGTACTTTAAAACAGCTAAACAAGTCTTCTCTTAACTAGGCTTTTTTCTCAGATTAAGTTTGGGTTTCTCAAATTTAACCATCAACCCAATCTGAGGAAAACCAGGTTAGTCATTAACTGTTACACAATCGCATTTGGAGAGATCTCACTCTGACTAGTGTATATCCCATATACACTCCCCCTGACACCACCTAGTGCTCTGAACTACAAGCACTGTCATTACATACACATGCACACACCAGTCAGCACCGCATGCTCTAAAATATATATATGTACACAAAGGTGTACTTGGTAGCTGTGTTGGTCTGAGACAAGACGACATACAAAAAACTAGAACTCTTGGTTCCCAAATGATACCTGCTTATATACACACCACCTAATGCTCTGAAGTACAATCACTGTCATAACATAGACAGACACACGCACACACAAATCCCACCCCTCCCACCAGTCACCACCAAATGCTCTGAAGCGCAGCCAATGGCATTAAACATACACAGACATATATACATCCTTTTCTGTATCAACACATTTCATGTTCAAGGTCAAATCAGCCAAATCAGTTCTAAATCACATCGAATGAGCAGAACTCGATCGTTCCAGAAACCACACTGATTGAGCAAGCAGAACTCAATCCTTCTACACACCACGGATGGCACGACAACTGGCCAGCATCCTCCTCCCAGGCTCTCACCCTAGGACTTCAGATACTCCCAAATCCATTGGCAACCATCCTACCTGCAGGCCCAAGCCTGGAGACCTTGGGATTCAGACATCCCCACTTGATCTTAGCCCACAAGAGGCCGAGAAGCTTCATCTGGGCCCTACATATACACACATGTACTGTCCCATCCCCCCCACCCAATGCTCTGACGTGCAGCCAGTCATGACACACATGTGCACACCCCCATGCTCCGAAATGTAGCCACTACGACACACCCGTGTGCACACAGACTCATAGGTTGTTAGGGGCTGGAAGGGACCTCGGAAGATCATGGGGTCCAGCCCCCCCACACCAGGCAGGAAAGACAGGTAGGGTCTGGTGACCCCAGTGAGATGCCCGTCCAGTCTCCTCGTGTGTGCGCACACCCGCCCGCCACCAATCACCACCCAAGGCAGCACACCCGCCCGCCACCAGTCACCACCCAAGGCAGCCACTTCTCCCCCCACCCAGGAGATCTGTGCCCACAAAGCCCCTTGCCCCCGACGACTTGGCGGCTCCAAGGAAAGAGCCCGTTTACCCAGCCTCAACCCGTCGCTCCCACACGCGTATCCCGCGGCACCCGCCGCCTCCGGGCAGCACAGCAGCGGCAAGGGGAAAAGAAGCCCCGAGCGGGAGGAGCGACGCGGAACCGGCCCCGCGGGCTCCGGGGCCTCTCCCGACACCCGCGGCCCCCAAGGTCTTCCCCGGGGCGGCCGGCCCTGCCCCGGCCCGGACGAGCCCGACCCCGGGGGGGTCCCAAAGCGGCGCGAGTAGTATCACTTACCGCCGCGCGCGGCCGTTTAACGGCTCCCCAGAAGTCTCGGGCCGCGCGACGCTGCCGGGGGGGCGGGGCGAGGCGGGGCTCTGGAGCGCGCGCCCTTGCCTCACCAGGTTTGTTTATTTACCTCGCTCGCTGGTTGGCTGCGGCCCGCGCCTGCTCACTGCGCGGGATGCGCCGTGGAGCCTATGGGCGCCGGGATGGCTCAAAATACTTAGCGTACCGGGCAGCGCGGAGCTTGGCACTGCTGTTGCCTGGTGCGCCATGATTTCGATGCGCCTCAAACATCCTACATTTTGATCACTTCGACTGTTGTTGCTCTACATCCTGTGCGATCACTAACAGTCGAAGTGCTCAAAATGTAGGCTAATGGTTGAGGCAGGTCCTTGTGGCAGCATTTGCAGAACCCAAGTCACCCTCAGAGAGTCTTGAGTGACTTGGGGGTTTGCTGTCAGCACTTTCTTAGGACTGCTTGCCTCGAAATAAAGAAATGCTTCGACTTTGATGACCCAGTTCTCACTCATTATAGTGAGCAATAGGAAATAAAGAGGACAACTTATTTGCAGACTTATTTGCATAATTTTTTCAGTGTATGATGATAGTTGTTCAGCAAATAATCATTTTGAGCTTCCAATATAATCATTTCATATTTAAGACCTGGCAATGCTGTTGGAAGGCCCGGCTAGAAACGGCCTAGGCTGTAGCACAGCTGTCCCACCTCCTAAGCCAATGCTTTCAGCCACCCTGTGGCAGGGACACCCCCGGGGCACAGGCAGCCTCTGCAGATCGGGCAGGGGGCGACAAGTAGCAGAGAGCCAAGAGGGCAGGGAGCAGAAAGCAGAACAGCAGATCAGGCAGGGAATGTAGGGAGCAGAAAACCAAGCCCCAGATTGCACAAGAGAACACAGGGTGGGAAGTAGAAAGCTGAGCAGCAGATCTGGCAGGCAGTAGTAGAAGGTGGGCATGGTACTCAGGGAGGGTCCAGGACTAATTGATGGCACACCTGCCAAAAAAGGTTGGCCTCCACAGCTTTCAGCCACAAAACCATCTTCTTTTCTTTCTCTTACACATTATTGAGCTTGTCTAGTACTGAAGTAGGCATTTACAAAGAGCCAAAGCAGCACAGCCACATGTACCTCATTTCCTCCCAAAATATTAGAAGCTTGACTAGGAGTATTCCAAGAAGTCTGGCAACCCCAGCGATATAGCTGTCCCTTCATTTTCTAAATTAAAAGCAAAGTAAATAAAAATCACACACATACTTAAAATTACATCAGAAGAGACTAGCCAGATGGTGAAAAAAAAAAAAAACAAACCAAAACCTATTATAGATCTAGCAAGTCAAAATACTCAGCTCCTTACATTTTAAAGTTCTGAATTTTGTCAAGATATTTCTCTCAATATCTTAAGAGGTCAAGGCTTCTTTCTTTCTTTTTGATCTTTAAGGGCAATGACCATATCTGGGTACTTAAATTGGGTTAGCCTTCCATTGTTAAATTTATCACTTTTCTCTCTTGCACAGTATTAATTTATATCCAATATTTGCTGACACCCCATTTACAGTATCTATATGAGAAATTTTACGAGTCTCCATTCATGTGACCTAGAGCAGTTAAAGAATCCTTTCCAGTTTTTTTTATGTTGTTTGGTTAAAAAACTATAGTTGGAAGGTTTTCTATTAACCCCATGCCTTTGTGACAGTGAAATCACATTTTCAAGGAGGTGATTTTTATGGCAGATTTCACTGCTTACTTTCCCTTTACTATATTTAAATATGTTTTTAAGATAGTTTTGGCAATGTTTTTAGTGGGGGGTTTTGTGCCCATATTTCCTTCTCACCATGAGGACTGTCCCCTCCTCCCATAAAGGTTTGTATGCAATAGAAAATGTAAAGCTTTGTTTAGGCTACATAATTACAGCCCAGTTAGAGTTTCAATCAGGAAACTGTACCATTGTATCTTGCAACTATGGAACTTGACCAACAAGGCACATGTGTTCAGTTGTATCACTTCCTTCAGTCTGTGTAATACATGTACCTATTCCATAAATCTCTGGACAGCTCAATCAAGCTACATTTGTAGGAACAGCTGTTCACTTTAAAAAATAAATCTACCATTATTCTCTATATTTAGACAAATTAAAAATGGCATAGCATAAAACATTTGTATATGTTGAAACAAAAGAGACCTTAAGAATGTATGAAGTACATCTTATTAAATAAATCTTATAAAATAAATCTCATGCATATGATCATAGAAGTTTAAGCATCTGAAAAGTGTCAATAGTATAAGATATTCTGCACAGTACGGGGCGGGGGGGAGTGGAATTAAAGAGGGGAGTGTAAGAGTGTCATTGACTTTGCTGAGTGGACCTCTGCAATATTGCAACTGTATTGCTGGTATTTTCCATCAGTATCAGTACTGGATTAATAAAGTAACCTAATATGGCTGTAACAGTTGTGAGGGGAGTGTTAAGTGAAACTGGAAATGCAATTAAGCGCTGTGATTTCTTAGAACATGGATAGGGGTTAATATTGTACACAGAGTGCCAGCTGCACTCCTTAGTCTTCACTCCTAATAGCTGTTCTCAGTTGGAATAATCTTTTAAGATAAGAGTTTCTATCCTCATCTTTAACATAACAGAGAATTAGAAGTCTTGAAACATCTGTAAAAGTTTAATAATGCCCACATTTCAGGGTTTAATAGCTTGGCTCTTCATGTTTCCACAGTTTAAATTATCACTGAAGAATGTGCCACAAAAATTTGCATTCTTAACCTTTGTTTCCTTGATAAAAAGTAAGCAGCTTTGTGATCAGTTACAAATAAGAATGTGTTAATAAAATCTATCTTTTTCAATTTTCCTTCAAGTAAACTTACATTTGAGCTAAAGTAATACATTGGACAGTAACAATACAACTAACAACTCTACAGTTTGGGCAAAATTCATCCCAAAGCAGAGGGCAGTGAAGATTTTGGCACGCTGCTCCTCCTGTTACTAGAACCAAACCTATGTCACATTTAATAATAAAACTCCCACTGACCTCTGAGATCAGGATTTTAACAAATGGTTTGAGTAGTTTTAAGTGATGCATAGGTACTCATGCAAATGGGATGAAATATCACCATTCATGTATATTCCTAGTAAACCAAGTATAATGGAAAAGACAACTGATCTTATATACCAGTATCTTAGCCTTGCCAGCTGCCACCATGATATTCAGATACTATTATAGACAGAACATTTTTAATCACTGCCAGTCCACACCCCCCCCCCCACACATATTTTTGGTTATTTTTAGCATTGATTTAACAGCCAAAACAAGTGTTAATCAGTAGAACCATGACTTGGAAGACCACACTAAATTAAATCATCACATTGTTTTTACTCCCACATTGCATATTAGTGAAATGTCAGTGTATGCCATAAATACTAAGTGAATGACATCAAGACTGGTATGTCAGACTGGAAGTAAGTCTTGTAGTCTGTCTTATTTTTTATTAGCAAAAACAAGGATGTGAGGGGGAATACAAGAATGTTTTGAGCAACTCAGCTTTGTTGAGCTGCTATTTCACTCAAATATTTAATCAGATTTTAATCATTATCTTTCAGTATCTCTGTTCTTGACTCACTGTCTGCACTTGTAACCCCTTTTTCTGCCAGCACCTTTTTTTTGCTTTTATATTTAGATAGTCAAAGTCCATTTAAAACTACCATATTTGCCCAAATCCAAGGCAACCCCCCAATAATTAGAATCTATACACAGAAAATATAAATTTGTTATAATTTTCCATGCATAGAATCCAATTATTGGAGGGTGATGTTAAATTACCCCTACCCCCCTACCACTGCAGCAAAGTAAGTAGTAGTGGGGGGATGGGATAGATAAGAAATGGGGCAGGTGGCCTGACCTCCCCCTTTCACTCCTGCCCCTTGCCCCCACTCCCTTGCCACTTGCCCTCCTGCCCATGCCTGCCACCTCCCCCACAACACTTGCTCTTCTGCTGCCTGCTGTCCCCTGTCACTTGACCCCCACCAGTGCCTTCCCTGCACAGTTACTTGGTCCCCATGCTGCCACTTATGCTATGTGGTAGCTCTGGCTCCATCTCTAGCCCAGGGCACTGAGCACACAGTGGCTCCAGCCCCTGCTCTGGGTACACAGCAATGGCTACTGCAGCTCCAACCCAGCCTCCCCTGCCACATGATCCCTGACCTTCAACCACATGATCCCTCACTTGTGCTGCCATGCGAGTCCCAACCCACACCCCTGGCCTAGGCCCTGGGACCTGGGACTACTACAGCTGCTGACTCCCAGCAGCAGTGGGGGAAATGATTCCAGTCCTGGCCCCAGCCTGGTACAAGCAATGGATCTGACTCTAGCTCCAGCCACAAGCTCAGCTGCATCTCCGTCTGCTACTTGCTAACTGAATCCAAGATAAAGCTTTTTCTCTTCCCATGTTGAATGGAGGGGAAAAAAAACTTGTCTTGGATCCAAGTAAATATGGTAATTTCTCCCTTTTTATCTAGTACAGAGGTGGGCAAAATGGAGGATCTGGCCAGCAGCTGGGATCCATTTCCCAGAATCCCCTGCCCACATGGCTGGGGCTGGTCTCCATCGAGACCCCAGCCACAGCTATGTTGTGATGGCAAGACTGAGGTTTATTTTCTGCCTACTTTGTAGTAGAATTGTTTCTACTTTATGCATGTTGTGTACATGTGTTCATATATAGTCAAAATTAGATAGCCAGGGCCAGGGCAGGGGCACACAGGCTGCAGATCGTGGCTCTGCCCTGGCACTGACCAAGCTGCCCCGGCTGCAAGATCCTAGTGGCTCCAGAGCAGCCCCCTGCCCTGCCCTGCCCTGGCACTGACCAAGCTGCCCCGGCTGCAAGATCCTAGTGGCTCC